CATGCTGGCTGGGGAATTCTGGGAGTTGAAGTCCACTCATCTTAAAGTGGCCAAGTTTGGGCCACACTGCTTTTAACTATTGCAACTAGGGCAGGGGTAGCAACTTGTATTGCTCCAGGTATTGGACTTTAAACCCCCTCCTCCTAAACCAGCAGGTATTCTTCAGGAGAGGAGAATTAGCCACATTGCCATTACTTCCATTCCACTGATAGAACTATATCACATGGGAAGAAAAGAAGCAGAGTTGCTGCAAAACGTTATTTAAAACTTGCACTCATGAATAAGTTCTAGTACTGACATATCTCAGACAGTCATAGCAGCCCTATATGAAGCACATCTTGTACCTGTGTCAGGTAATGGCACGTAAAGGTATTGAAAAAGACTAAACCTGAGCTTCTCAGCATCAATGTGAAAGTGATTCCTTGTCTTCTGCCAGGATTGTTGCTGTTGTTACTTCTCTGTCTAGATTATAACACCAGATTTTCCTGGTCTATCCAATCCAACCAGGTTTTACTATACTTTTTTGTTTTTTGAGATCAGCCACTGTCAGCTAAGTATTGCCATAAGTTGGTCTGAGTGCAACCACTGACAATGCAAATAGATGATTACTTTGGCACTCCCAAGCAGAATAACTTCATTTAACAGTTATTGTTTAGAAATCTAAAAAGATGTAAATATTGGTGAACTGAAAGAATATTTTGATATGTGGGTGTGTACGAATGGATGTTGATTGCATTATAAAGCTCAGTAAATCCTTTGTTCTTCTGAAACATCAAGTCAATCTGCTACACTCATATTGTTTGTTCTGTGGTATGTTTAGTGTATGAGATTAAATTTGAAGAAAGTAGTTCTCTCTTTTAACTCATACAACAATATCTGGTAATCATAGTCTTCTTGCAGAAAAAGAGAGACTTCTGCCATCTTTCCTCTGAAGTGTGTTAGTTTTCCTGAATCTTTGACATGGAGTATTTCATTCATTTAAATCTCTTGAGATAATTGGCACAGACGTTTATGGGACTCCTGGGGAGCTTTGTTTATAGTTTACCAGTTTACCAGTTTACCAGGAAAACCAATTACGGAATACAACCCTGCTGCTCTTCCCTCCCTTAACATTTAAACACCTTTTTATCTTAGTACGATCCCCAAGATCAATGTTGCCCATTCTGCCTGTTTCAAATTTAATATAGAATTAATAGGACAACAGAGTGGCAAAATTAAGATGGAGGTGTGGCACGTCTATTGAGAAGCTGAAGAGAATATAACTGCTCTGTGCATAGAAGGAGCATGAACAGTTACATGTGTCAACATGTCTTAATCAGCCATGTGAAGCTCTAGCTTCTTACATGTGTACACTTGCTCTATCAATCTTGCATATATATACGTGTGCATGTGGCACACTCAGGTGTGTCCTCAGACATTCCTGTTAGGGTGTATTTTAGCAGCAACTCTGAAATTAGATGCAACAGAGAAAGAAAAGAAAAGAAAAGAAAAAAGAAAAGAAAAGAAAAGAAAAGAAGAAAAGAAAAGAAAGAGAAAAAAAGAAGGAGGGAGGGGAAGGGAAGGGAAGGGAAAGAAGCAGTTATATAAATCAGCCTTTCCAAAACTACTGTGTGTACAAATGTCTTGAAATAAGAATTCACAGCCAGCTAGTGGTTTATACTATTGTTTCAGCACTACTGGACAGCACATTAGAAATATGGCACTATTCTCTATGGATTTGGACCACTAATACTGCAGGACATGCTGAACCCTTCTTGATGCATGCTTTTTTTTAACATCAACTACCTTCTAGACATGATTGCCAATCACCATCAGACAATTCCTGCCCTTTGCTCCATGCCTTCGTCATCAGCTACTATCAGTCAGTTAATCTTTATTGTGATCAATGACCAACATTATCAATTGGTATTTTTTGTAATAAAATGAACAAATAGGTCCAAATCAAATTAGATGAATATATAACCCCCTTTGAGCCAGCTATAAATAGTACCTAGAGGTTTAGTAATATTTCCAAAAGAGCATTATATAAAGGTTACACTGTGTGAGAGCCTTTTAGATTTTCATTTGGCTAAAGTAAAAGTGGAAGAAGTGATATTTTTCTAATACAAGAGAATCCTGGCCAAGTCTCATATAAACATTTAACAGTTAGATTCCAAACACGGTTAAAATGAGAATCTTGATAAGTAGGGCTCTTAGATCTGGGCTTCAAAACATCCTAATAGTCCCTAGATGCCATACAGATACAGATACCTCTAATGATCCAGTAGTGATCTGGAGTTTTGCAGCCCTGATGTGGTAGACCTGTTGTAAGGCTAGGAAGAAATCTTATTCAAGAATGAGTAATTGAAAGCTGTAGGACTTACTTTTAAATGAGCAGGTATAGAATTATCCATAAATTTCATGTCTGCAGCCTAATCACTCCTTAGTCTAGAACTGTAGCTTGTGTTGACATAAAAGCTGGGAATCAGTAGAACTGGTACAACAATAGGGATTTCCCAATAAAGTTTGAGAAAAATGGCACTGACCAAACAATCCAAACACAGTTAAAGATGTTGTAATGCTAAAGGTAGTCGGGGATAATTTTAATATCCAGCCACTCTTTGCTAGTTCGGGTTTTCATATAGGGTGCTATAGACCAATTTCCATAGAATTAGATTCATTATTTCAGCATCTTCCCATGTTAATCATACCACTGTCTTCATACTGAATGAAGGCAATGGCTTCTTACGTTGATTTGTATGATTTGGTTTGGTTCCATTCTGAAATTAAATCTTCAGATATTAACACACCAACTTGGATATAGTTCTCACTTAAACTTTATACTAACAAGGGAAATTGCAGTATTTAACATAAACCAGTTAGAAATGTGAGAATGACCTGAAATCAATAATACATTTCTCACTGATGTCTACAGATTCCACCCAAATGATCCATCACATCTGGGGAATCACCTGTAAAATGGATGCCTTACATATAACATTTTGATCCGATTGACTTCAATGGTTAAATTTCTACTGACTTGGATGGAACACCCAGTCAGTCACAAAATAAGATGCATTTCCTGGGTATTTCCCGATAGTGGAGATAGATGCCAGATGTTGTCTGAAGAGCATATAGTATTAGATTAACAGTTAAAATGACCACAGATAACAAACATAATGAGACAGAAACTGAGACCACATGTATAAAAAAAGCACCATTAGAACCAATGGAAAAACCAAGTGTTTTTTGTTGGCTGCTTATATTGAACTGGAAAGTAAATCAAGAACAAATATTTCTAACTTATTCTTCTCTCCCACTCTACTGACCTGTCAGAAGGACATTTGGAAAAACAAGATGAAATCAACATTAGCATTTCTTTTTCTCTCTCTCTCTCTTTCTGTGGCTATGTACACTATGTGTATTTGCATTTTTAGAAGAAAAAATGTGATATTTTAATATAACTTTTAGGATCTACACTGAAAATGAACATTGAAAATCACATTTTGCTATTTTGTTCTTTGTTAAAACTCAAGGCTCATGTGAAAGCCTTGAATTTTTTCTGGGAGTTCTTGTCTTTCCCCCACTGAGTATTATAATTGTACTGAGGAAATCCAAACCTATTTATTACTTCATTCAGATTTTGTAGCATGGGATATGCTTTCTTTGTGTAGGTAAAGCACTGGGGGATCCCTGTAATCCTACCTTCTACCTAATCTGATCTGTAGGCTCTTTTTTTTTCTGCACAGTTATTGTCTTTTCTGTCTTGGTGGCTGGTGGATCCCTATAATCTTTTCTTTTACCTGACCCACTTGCATCTTGTATTGTATGGTTGTGGCTGCTATATTCTCTCTATAGCCATCTATACCATCTTCTGCAACATTTGGGTCCAGTACTTGTTATTAACTAGGCTCTTATCAGTTGCTAATGGAGATGACAGCCCTTTCATCTATTTGTTGTCTACCTAGCAGGAAAACACTTAGCTTTTCCATTTAGGTGTCCTACATAGATTGGTATTTCATTGTTCAGACATGCACAGACCTAAATACTTTTACCACTAGAATCTCTTTAAGATTTCAAACCAAACAAGGGCTATAATAGACATTACATGATGGGCATGCACACCAGAAAACAATCACATTATTTCAAAATAATGCCCCATTAAGCAGTAGCCAGCATGTCACAAATTCCTTTTGTTCTTACACAGTTTGGACCCATTTAACAAAGAAATAAATATCGGGAGTGAGGCTACTGCATTAAGGAATCCTGGAAGTCCCATCACCATTTAGAAGCAGTCTGGCAGTTAACTTTCCTGCTCATAACGACTTTTCCTTTTTCCTTCCTCCCCCAGTTTTCTTAGCTACATTGTAGTAATGAAAATTAGCAGCATGTTTATGGATGTATCAACCGCTGGGGATGAAGGGAAAGAAACAACACATTCAGTCTACCTACCTCAGTGGTGAACCTTTTGGCGTTGCAATGCCATAGCCTTTGGAATCCAAGTTACCTCCCACCTTCATGGTGTCACATGGCTTTCTCTGTTCAATGTACTCATTCATGGTAGACTCTAGCAGGTAGGCATACTTCCCTTTGGATCTCCTCACACGCTTCATCCCCTCTTCTGTTGTCGGCACGAAAACAGAGGGCTCAGCTGACTTCATGTACGTCCACATCTTCTCAAAAACCGCTATTTTAGATCTCTGTCCAGAATAGCATAAATCCGCTGCTCTTAGCATGTGTTAATACACAGAGCAGAGATTCATACACCAAGGAAGACACAAATTTGTTGGGCTGTGTGTGCCTACACGGTGCACAGCTAAAGAAAGGATATTACTCAAATTAGGGGCTGGTTTATAGAGGTGAACAGAGAAATGGATGGATTGTATGAATTAGTACCATTCAATGGCACATTTTATGGAACAAAAATTAAATCAAGCAGAAGGGGGACTGAAGAAAAAATAATTTATAACTATAAAAGCTTTTTTAAAGGCCAGATTCTAGGAATTATGTTAGAAATGGTAGCACATTTGCTAAATTCTAATCCTACAGAGGATTTGTAATTTAGTGGCAAAACGTATAGCATGGAAGCCAGGTGTTCCAGTTTAAATTCCTCAAATCTCTGGTGATATGTTATCTGTTTAAAGGATTTTTGTGTTAGGAAAGACTTCTGAAAAACTACTGCCTTGTGGAATAGGCAGCACTCAAATGGTCTGACTCCATACTAGTCACTCATGGGATGGAGAATAAAAGCAACAGAACTGTAGTGCACTCCACAAACTGAGTAGGAAGAATGGAGAGAACATTAGAGAAAAGTGAGAGACAGAAGGCACTAGACCACAGAAAGGATGTGTACTTTTGGTGGCTTGGTACGTAAGCTGCTGTTGAATAACTTCAATGTATTTGCATATTGTAAATGGTGTCATTAAATTACAGAGCTAACTAAGTATTTATTATTCTCTAAACCTGAGTTGCAAGTCACAGGGTAATTACTTTTGATGCTGCTAAGTGTAATTACTCAGTAATCTGTGGAAGCGTATAATTACTCCATGTTTCAAGGGTATTTATGGTATCTGGCAGAAGCCTGCATGGGCTATATTTCCTGGGCTAGCATGAGTCTTGCTTTGTACATGAAAATCAGAACCAATTTCTCTTACCCGAAAGAATTCTTTAGTAGAACCAGCATCCAAAGTCCCGTAAGCAATCTCTGTTTGCTTGGCCAAGTCTTCTGCACTCTCTATGGGAGACACCATTCTCTCGACTGTTAAAAATGCAGCTAAATTGGCGGTGTAAGATGAGATGATGATCAAAGTAAAAAACCACCAGACTCCACCAACTATGCGTCCAGACAGGGATCTACCAAAAGAAGAAAATATGACAAGAGTTACAGTGAGACTAGAAAGTAAGAATGGTAATACATAGAATCTGTTTCTGCAGAAGCACTAATGGAATAATTATTTTATTATTATTGTTTTTGTATTTTAATCCTGTTATTGCAAGAAGGAAATGACAGCCATTTACATTCCTTTTGGATTGGACCAGCCTATAAAACCCAGGAAATGAATGGATTTTTGGTAAACAGCACTCATAATTAGCTCTTGGCCTAAATGAGGATGAAGAATTAGTTAGAGCTACATTAAAAGCTGCTAGTTAGCTTTACTAATAACTTATATCACTATTCATCACTATTCTCCATTACCTACTAGGGCACCACTACGTATGGATAAAGTTAGCTCTACTTGACAGGCAATACCAATTGAACTTCTAGTCTTATAGATTTTACAAAACTTCTACTGTTCAGCTGCAGCTAATGCATATAGTGAAATGCTTGGATGTAGCACTACATTGATTTTGGTTTCCATATAGACCCCCAATTATATTAATTTAAAGTAGTGGGGTATAAATTACATGGGTAATCATTTATGAAAAGATACTTCAGACAAAAGGTGTCTGATTAGAATATCATACATTGATGGAAATAAAAGAGTTTTTTTTTTTAAGACTGATACATAATCTATCTCAATCACCTTCATTTTGCCACTGCAGATAATCACAAAGTGAGGAAAATGATAAGAAAAATGAAATACTGGAAGAACAGAATGGGATCTTCATTACTGCAATATGATAAAAAAGGAAGACCACTTACATTGACTAGCATAAAAGTCTTGCCTCTTTGTTGCAGAAGAAACTAGATATACAATATCACATATGTATGTGTATGGACATTAATTTAATAAATGAAATGCAGTTAGTACAGTGATATTGTTTCTTTGTCCAGTGTGATAGATGTGGTTAATATAGTTAAAATTAGGGAGAGTAGGAATTGAAAGCACTGATTCTATGTGTAAAACTAATGTGAGACTGCATTATCTATATGGATGGCAAGAAAAAAAATCTCTAAAGGCCTTCAGCTCAGCCCATTTTGAAATTAGTAACAGAACAGCTCTATAGTGTAAAAAGGAGAATGTTCTTTTCTCACAAGAAACACAGCAGTGGCATTTCAACTTCCTTGCTTTATAACTGAAATCTCATAAATTAAAGGAAGTAACTGCCTACAGTTCCAAAAGTTTGTTTTGAACAAACATATATATATTTTAACAATTGGGAAAGTTCACATCTTATTCTAGCTGTTTCATCTGGAGGAAAGTACACATTACAAAAACTAGCAAAGAAAAGGATGGTGTGACCCAGCTACTATGTTGGTTGTCTCTAGGGCAAAGTGAAGGAAAACCACTGTGTTTAAAGAGCCCAGCAAGTCAAAATCATTTCAGCCATAGGTCTCTTTCTGTTTTGTTCACTGCATGCTTTAGCTTTGTTTGGCTACCCAACATATAATTATTTGTAAAAGTAGTCCATCAATGTTCATTCATCTATATGTTCTATATCTTCTTCAGTTTACTTAAAAGAATTCCTGCAACTATTTTAAAAACAGTTGGAAAATAAGTTTTTGGTGATGTGTAGAGACATTCCAATGTCTTTTAAGAAGTAAAGTCCTTGTGACAGAGATCCAGGGTTGGGAGAAATAACCATCCTTTTGCATATTTCCCTGTTCTCCGTAGTAGGTGAA